AACAACACTTGAAAGGGTTGAGCGAACTTATCCATGTAGTTATAAATGGCTATATGCTCTTTTGTTCTTTGTCTAACGAAAAATTATCCTGAGGTGGTCTGGAAAATATCGGTATAAAATACCTTTCAATTCACCAAGCTGCCACAATGATTGGGAGATAAGTCTGGTAGTTTTTATTGTTTCTTTTTGATAGCCTTAATATAAGTATTTTAAATTTTAAATCTGATGAAATGATTAAGTGGTGAATACTATCTGTCAAGAAAACCGAGCCAACTAAGCCTACTGAACAATGAACAACGAAGAGACAATAGAGCAAAGATTCTTAGACATGTCAAAGTCAAAGTCATCTTTATTTAAGCAGGGTGGCCCATTCAGCACTAGGCTGGTATCAATAGGAGCCCTGCGTAATTAATGATACTACATAATAATTAAAAACTACCACCGGCTAAAACCTACTACAAGAGAGAAATGCAACAATCATGTAGAATAAAGAGCTAATAAAATATACAATATCTCAACTTAGTAAAATATTATTTAAGAAGGTTCTTAAACATGTATTGTTGAATGATTGATATTAACATAACACGTGACTAGAATTTCATAATCACATAGGAGTTGAACGCGAACACCGTATTTATAAGAATTTCGCAGCCGGAATTGAGCTAAGACCGAAGAATAATGACAAAAAAGAATCGCGCTAAGGGCATTGCGTCTGCGCCCAGAAACTTATGGGTAAGGCAGAAGAGATTATCAAGGAGTTCGACCCTTCACAAGCACAAGTTGAAACAGTTGAAGATATCTCTTGAAGATCGACTGGAAACGATTCGTGCTTTAGACGCCGAAATCTTGGACACGCTTGAAGACGAGAAAGGAATTGAAGAAGAAATTGAGGAGGCCGGAGATTTTAGCGAACGAGTACCGGAGATCGTAGTCGAAATAGAGAGTGTGTTGTCGCGGAAAGTAAAGAAGAAAGTGGTTCAGCGTCGTCGAACCAAACGGCAACAAACGCAACCAGCGTAAACAAACACGCGAAAGTAGCTTGACTCACGTTGAAGAGTTTCCACGGTAATCCAGCGCAGTGGTTATCAAAATGGGATAGCTTTCGGAGCGCCTTTACGAGAACCCCGAATTGCACAAATTCGACAAATTCAACTATTTGAAGAATATTCTGAGTGGGT